TAGATAGATAGATAGATAGATAGATGAGAGAGAGAGAGAGAGATACAGAGATAGATAGATAGATAGATAGATAGATAGATAGATAGATAGATAGATAGATAGATAGATATAAGACAGTCTTATTTTTGGGGATACACAGTCTTTGAACTCACTCAGTGTTTGACTGGTTGGGATATTATTTACAGATTACAGATTAACAGAGTTGGAAGGGACCTTGGAGGTCATTTAGTCCAACCCCTCCGCCCAAGCAGGAGAGCTTATTTCTGACCGAGGGCAGTCCAGTCTCTTCTTGAAAGCCTCCAGGAATGAAGCTCCCGCATCTTCCAAAAAGCAAGCTCTCCCGTTGAACATAGAATAACAGAGTTGGAAGGGGACCTTGGAGGTCATCTAGTCCAGCCCCCCCACCCACATAGGGAGACCCTACACCATTCCTATGTTCCGATGGCGCCGGAAAGAGAGATGTGTGGCCGTTTCCCCTCCACCCGTTGTGGCCGTTCTTGCATTCTCACCGTGACCCTGGGATTTTAGATTTGGATGCCGACTCGTGTTTACGACGGTCTCCGCGTTCCCCCGGTGCTTCCATGATCCACTTTTACGACCGTCTTTGGCTAAGCCAAGTCAGCGGGGCAAGCCAGCTTCGCTTAACGACCGGGTGACTTAACTCCCCCCTCTTGCAAGCCATTCCCTTTTTTGGAAAGGTCGTCAAACGGGGCCAAAAGCAAACGTCTCACTTAGCGACGGGAATGGGGAGGGAGAAAAAGAGTTATGGTGGTCGTAAGTCGAGGACTATTGCTTGCTCGCAGCAAGGAGGGGAGAAGCAAGGTTTAAAAGCCAAGACGGGATCCGGAGGCTGCCCTGGGTTGTCTGAACGGGGGTTGTCTGAACGCAGCCTTTAACCTGGGTTGGGTCGTGTGTCTGGATGTTGCATTTTAACTCCTGTAACTCCAGCTAGGTAGTTAAACTGGGGCGGGGGCAGGAATGGGGTTTTGTGGAAGAGGGGGGGGGCTCTGATTCACTCCCCCCCCCCCCCCCATGCTGCAACACGCGTTGATCTCCCCCCTTTCGCACGAGACGCTCAACCCAGCTGAGCAAGCTTTCCCCCCCACCACCACCACCACTGCATTGCGCTTTCCTCATTGGCTGGCTCCCTGCTGTCCATCTGGGCTGTCCACCAATCGCGAGGGGGTATTTCCCCCTTCGGGTCCCTCCTCTTTCGAACCTTGGCCTTTAAAAAAAAAAAATTACATGAAATTTCGCCCTCGCCGCTCCTCCCCTTTCGAACGCTTGTGGGGGGAAGGACGCCCTCCCATTGGCCGAGCGGCCGGGACAATCCTCCCCTTTGGAACGCCAGGCCGAGGATCCCATTGGCCGGGTGCAACAGTGGCTTCCTTCCTTCCTTCCTTCTTTGAGGGCCCGGGCCACGCCCCTTTGGAACGTCCAGGCACTTGCGGGACTGCGCGGAGTTGGCGCCGCCGGTGAGTCGCGGAGCGTCCCGCAGGGCGGCGGGGGGAGGCGGTGGGCGGGGGGAGTGTGGACCGGCCCCCTGGCCCCTTTTGGGGGAAGGGGAGTAGGGTCCTAAGGGAGCCTTCAACTCTTAATTACACCCTCACCCCCCAAAAAAAAGGTGGGCTTGGACCCCCAAGTCCCATGCTCCCCAGCCGCAGAGGGGGATGGTCCCGGGAGTCCTGGTCCAGTAAGTCCAGGGAGCTGGTTTGGGGGTCTCTCAGGACACCGACTAGACCCCCCTTCCCTGTTCCTCTTTGGAGAAAGACCCCGGGGGGCCTTCCTTCCAAGGGTGTATCTGCTTGGGACGCTGGACTACAGGGCCCATCATCCCCAGAGGGGAGGAAGAGGAGAGA